TTGGCAGTGACATCACCGATGGCGCGTCGATCGACTATGAGGTGGACATCGGTAAGTCGAAGGGGAACAGACAAGCCTTTTGAGAGCTGTGTTTGCGACTCCTTTACACTGGTGCTGCTGCTACCACTGCTATCAAATGTGTCTTTATTGCCTCCACAGTCCCTAAGCAGTTGTATGGGTTCACTTGCAACTGTTAAGAGAGTGTCTTGCGACACAGAAATGGCTGGCTGTGGCAGTGGCGTCAGGTTCCCCAATTTGGTTCTAAAGTATAAATAACAGGAGCATTGCTAAATGTTGTTGGATTTGTAATGCCTTTAAAAGATAAGTTTCAAAACGCCGACCGATCGAACTATCGAATTAAGTATTCAAAAATTTGGCTTTAACAACTCGACATCATGAAGTAGAGGATCAGAGGCACATGAACATCGTGAGCCAGTCAATTTTATTCAATTTACAAAATCGGTTAGAGCTAATGATAATTCAAATACAGAGAGTATCAAAATGAAGACTAACATCACCAATTGCACAACGCAAATCGACCTAATAAATCAAGTATACAAGCAATCAAAATAGTCATGGGTTGCAAAAGGTTGCACACGAATTTAACTGACGAGAACCGAGTTTTAGAGAAGTACAAAACCAGAATAGCGGAATAGTCAAGCTATTTGGCTCTTAAAAACCATAAACATATTTACGGATATTGAACCCTTGCAGATCTAACTAGAGAAGCTTCGGATACGCTCGTAACAGCATGATCATTGAGCAGATGCAGACGCAGTAGTCCGTATCGAGCGAAGCGCCGGTTCCGACAGATAGGACATCTACGAGCCAAAAAACTTCCATAAAAGATTGCTACTTCATGTATATACTAGAGACTTGGGAGGAAAAAATGGACCACCTCAACTGAGCAGAATGTAGACGCCTACTTCGCTGAGAAGTTGAACACTTGCGCAATGTTTTCGCAGAAGATTTGCGGGAGCAGTGCGAAATGGAACCACGTTTTGTTGCATAATGCCCAAGCAAGTCAGAAACATCTGGAAATGAGAAATGAGTATAGAACAATTCCTAGGACAAAAATATGCGTACTTTCAAATTGCTTTTCACATTTGTTGCACCGAAGCCAATTCGAATTGGCTAGGTCATGCGCTACGCTTAAATGATTTGTAAAGGCTTCCAGTTCTGTAAAGGTTTTCAGACAGGAAGACACAATACACTGGTAGACCTTTTCGTCATTGTGTTCCACCATGTGAGAGCGCATACTTTGGAAACCACTAACTCGCGCCCCGCAGAACCTGCACTCAAATTGGTTGTCCACAAGACTATAGCTCAGCATCTCAGAAGCGGATAAAACGTGCACCCTGCGTGCCACTGATAAGATTGAACGGGAAGGTTTCATCAAAAGATTGGTGGATGATACAGTACCACCGACTGAGCGCAACAGTGGCCAGGTTTTGTGCGACTTCATGTGTCGCTGCAGATTCGAGGCCTGTGAAAAGGCTTTTGAGCAAATGCAGCAACGGAAAGGGCGCTCGCCTGTATGGGTGCGAAAGTGAATCTCCAGATGACTTGGCCGATCGAATCGCTTAGTGCATTGAGAGCAGACATACTCATGAACTGGTTCGCATGGCGACCCAGGCTGAGACGGAGAAGGAACACTATCGTCCTCCTCCTCATCTATATCTGGATCAAGCCTTTGCTCCTGACGTGCATCTTGCAACGCAGAATCGGTAACTTTTGTCGTAATGTCCGGCTAAAACCAAACTAGACGTAAGATGCTGCTTCTCGATAAGTATTAAAAGTAGATGTCGGAGAATTTACCTTCTCGAAGGACGAGACAGGTTTTGATAATGGCTGAAGTCCTTGTGCATCATTCTGTGCATTTGGTGGGTAACTTTCAACGAAACTGAAAGGATGCTGTTGCTGTGGCTCGTAAGTACATGACCTACTGCCATTATAGATCGGTATCTGGCTGTAATCCTCTCTGCGATCACAGACGTTTGATGCTTGGGAATGCCACTGCGAGTTATAAGCGTTGCATGGCTGCTCCCGCCAAACGGGTTGAACGGATTCGGTGTATAAGGCAGTGTAACGGGTACCCTGATTATGTTGATAGATATTTGGCTGGGAATCCTGATAAATTTCTTGTGACTCTTGGTAGTGCGATGAAAATCCACTGTGATAAGTGACGTAGCACGCGGAGTGATTATAATGAGTGGGTAAAGCCGGTTGATTACCCTCGTATGGAGTAGAGTATGTATAGGGCTGCTGACTTAACTGAATCTGTGGAAAATCTTCACCAGGCGTACACATTGGCTCCTGAGTAGTTACACCGTTCTGATAGGCAATCTGGGAATTGGCAGCATAGTATAAACCACTTCCGGAAGACGAGTTATATCTGTCACTGTAAAGATCCGTCGACGAAGGTACCTGTCCAGAAGGGAAGTTGAAAGTGTCACCAAACTGATAAGAAGAATAAGAGTAGGACTGATATGTTGAAAAATTTTGATTGTATGAATCAGTGATCAAAGAAGATGTGTTTTGTGGTGCAGAGCAGATCGACGGCTCGAAATTTAAATAGTTATCATCTTGATAAAAAGTGCACTCATCCGTCCGCCCAATATGCTTAATCTTCGAAGTATTGAAGTCATTCGGGGTCGACAACTCATATACAGTATAGTCAGCTTGAATATTGTCATAGGGGTGGCTATGCTTGGGAAAAGAGGGTGTCGGATCATAGCTAACATCAGCTAAATCTCGTGCGGAACCATCAATCGCACTGTCACAGTTCTGAAGAATCGAATCTGCAAACAGGGAGCTAGAATAGTTGGCGTCCTCATCACTTTGCGCCTCCATAACGAAGAACTGGCTTCGGTGAGCGCTCGGCAAACCGATCAGGTCCGCGGATTTTTCATCAGGATGTTGATAAGAATAGAACTCTGACGAACTACAGTAGACACCATTTAAATTGTTGCTAGCATAACAACTTTCACCGCGATCACAATCACTACTAGCAAGAGTCCGTTGATCCATGCCCTAAACCATTAATTTAATTGGTTAGAGCTTTGGCTCCACACCAACACAACCAATTGCAGACTGCAGAGGCTCACACAAATCAGCGCAGTGATTTATCAACGAAAACCATTTTAAGCTAAGTTATTTATTTAAGCGTAACTCATATTCATGAACCGACTAGGAAATTTTAAACTTATGACTTGCGCAATTACCTGTGCATTAAGCTAGCCTTTGCCATGTTGGGTAGTATATTTGGTGTGCAGTTGCTTGTTCATGCCTCAAGTGACCTTGCCGGCCGAGGGAGCGGGTTACCAGGATCAGGTCTTCGAACGGCTTACCCGGGCTATTCTCCTAAGCGCCTCTGCCGCAACGACTCGTATGTTTATCCATTTTTAGAATCAAAATCTACTGTCGGTGACTTATTGTCAATTGGCAATATTTTCCCATTAGTATGTGTGCGTCGCTGTTTTATTTCGCTTTGATCCGTGATATATGACCCTTTTCTTCAAAATAATCTGCTTAGCTCCTTTTTTATATCGACTTTTAACCATCAAGTTTGATTATTGTCAAATGCCCAACTTTCCAGGCAAGATGTTGTACTTCTCTCGGTATTTGAAGTTCAAAACGTTTTTTTCTTAAATTTTTGTCGCAGCTAGTTTGAAATCTT